AGTGAGTCCTTCCTTCTCATTAGGTGGCCAAAGTATTTGAGTTTCATCTTCAGGATCTGGCCTTCTAAAGAGCAGTCAGGGTTGATCTCCTCTAGGACTGACCGGTTTGATTGCCTTGCAGTCCAAGGGACTCGCAGGAGTCTTCACCAGCACCAGGCCTCAATTCTTTGGCGCTCAGCCTTTCTTATGGTTCAACTTTCACAGCCATACATTGCAACTGGGAAAACCATAGCCATGACTATACACACTTTTGTTGGCAGGGTGATGTTTCTGCTTTTTAGTATCCTGTCTAGATTTGCCATAGCTTTCCTCCCCAGAAGCAAGTGTCTTTTAAATTCTTGGCTGCAGTCTGCGATGATCTTGGAGCGAAGGAAAATAAAATCTGTCACTATCTCCGTTTCTTTCCCATCTATTTGCCAGGAATTGAGAGGGCTGGTTGCCATGATCTTAGTTTTCTTAATGTTGAGTTTCAACATTGCACTCTCCTTCTTCACCTGCATCAAGAGGCTCTTTAGTTCCTTTTCGCTTTCTGCCTTTAGAGTGGTATCATCTGCATATCATACTAAAAAATACTAAATACTAAAAAATACTAAATAGCCACACTGGCTAACCTCAATTTGGACTCACAAACCCTGGAAACTAAGAGCTAGGGCAGGTTTAGTAACCATCCCTTGGAAATGGGCAGCCTGTAATTTACAGGAAAACCATGGCTGTGAAAAATTTTGGGACTTTTGCCTGCTTGAAACCTGACTGGAAGCTCACAGAAAGTGATATCTTACATCTGAAAATAATTGGCATAGAAAATTGGATATTGTAAATTTCTTTCCAGAACTTTTCCCCTGGCTACTAAACTTTCATGGTTGAAAGCTCTCTTTTGGGGAGCCACTAAAGGAATCCTTCTTCTGCTGCCTCTGTCAATGCCTTCCCTTTTGCATCAGAAAAATTAAAAGCATCCATCAAGTCTCCCTGATCTGATCGATTTTGAATCTTTTGCCAATAACATATGTGTTCCACCACATATTTTGGCAAAAAGGGGGGACTGTAGGAAGTTAGCACCCACCCCCTCCTAGAAAAATGAAATATTCTAGGAAACATTAAAAAGGCAGAATATTGTATTTTCCCTAAAGGAGAAACATGTTTCTAAAGACATAAACTCAGAGCCTCAGCACCCTGCCCCCACTAGCAGATATTTTGGTGTCAACCTATCTACAAGACAAAGGCTGGGACAGCTTATCTACAAAACAAAAGACATGGCCCCCTCAGGACATGATAGGATTAGCCCTCACTCAAGATCCAAACCAGGACAAAGCCATTAATCTATAATAGGAATTGCCCAAAACCCATTCATTACATCATCACCCAGCAAGATTCAACCAGGCCTGGGACTCAAGACAACCTACAAAGTTACCACTGAATGGCCCCATGGGAGTCTGACAACCAATCAGAGTACATTTCTTACACACGAACATGAAACTCTAAGACGGGGCCCAAGAAAGGGTATAAATCTCTCTCCCTCTCTCACCCATGTGCTCTTTTTTGCCCAGAACCTCAAACCATGTGGTCCTGTCCACCATTAAACCATCTTTCCAAGCAGTCTCCATGTTTCCAGTGTCTTTTTTCCCACTTGGAACTGAACCCAGATGGACATTTCTTCCAACAATTCACAAAAAACTGAATGCAGTCAGTTCAGTTTTTCTCAAAAGCTACAGGTAACATCCAAAGGCTGAAAAAACATATGAGTCATATAAAAGGTACCTTTGCTAGGGCTACTGAATGTGTGTGTAAATGCATATAAATCAGAAGCTGTTTGCTTGAAATTTTGTGCAGCTTGGCAGTCTCATGATTGGGACATTTTATTAACTTTTATTCAATCTGGGGATCCTGAAGGTATACGAAATCCTATGATATCTGCTACTATTATATCTGCTGATTACTGATTAAGATCTCTTAATTTTATGTCAGGACTTAAAAATTTTCAAAAACTATAGTAGTCAAACTAATATTGTGCTTGATGAGAATTGTAGTCCAAAGATAACTGAGAAGTACCAGTAGAGGAAAGGTTGGTTGAGGTTTCAAGGATCGAACATAGCTAAGATAACATTTTGTTGTTTGTGAAAAAACACATACCAAAGCTTGCTCGGTTAGAATAATTTACATGTCTACCCATTTTCTTTCTGAATCATATATATTCATGTATATTTCAAATGAATTTGTTCATTTCACCCAATTAAGATAAGCCAAACCCTGCTTTTAGTTAGATGTATCCTACATCTAATGCTAGGAGAAACAACTATAAGAGAGATTTTAATATCAGAATATGATGTGATATAGTCTGATACTGTTGAAATATGCTGGATTTCAGTGCCCCAAATCTCCCATGCAGCATTGGAAAAGTTAAAAGCCTAACACTTCTGAAGAGCACCAGATGGATGAATATTAGATCAGAACATCAGAGATGAACTAAGATATGAAGCTGAGCGTTCTCAGTCATCATTGCTATGAGATGAGAAGGGCCTGGTGGCTCAGCAGTCTAATGGCATTGTGATTAACACCAGCTGTCTGCAATTATTGTAAGTTCGAATCTCACCAGGCTCAAGGTTGACTCAGCCTTCCATCCTTTCTAAGGTAGGTAAATTGAGGACCCAGTTTGTGGGGGCAATAAGCTGACTTTTTGTATAAATATACAAAAGGATGAAGGCTATTGCTTAACGCATTGTAAGCCACCCTGAGTCTCCGGAGAAGGGCGGCATATAAATCAAATTTAAAAAAAAATTACAAAATGGGGGCAGCTGTAAACTTTTTGGAGGAAGATGAAGTATTAATAAATAAATAAGTCAAAAATAATTTGGTGAGAGGTTGAAAACTAAAATTATTGACAAAACAGTAAACCAGTGTTCTAATTTCTTCCATCTGGTTAGAATAAAGGTATAGTTCTATTTGAAGATGCCTCATTGCAGGTGGTTTCACATTGGGGATCATCCATAAATCATTTTGTGACAAGGGCAGAATGGCACATAGGTTAGAATGAGGGCAAACTGTGATGAGGAAGTTTAAAAGTGTGACATATTTTATAGATGGTTTGCAAGCCACTTGAAAAATCATTTTTCTGTCACCACTTCAGGCTGATTTCCATTACTTTGGTAAAGAAGCTTTTGTTCAGAATAGTAAAAGCACCTTGATTTTTTTTTTTTTTTGCTGGAAGCAAAACTGCAGCAAGCACTCAAATGAAATGCACATGGTAGCAAATACCAGCTTTATTTTGTATTACAGAAGCTGAGAGGTATCAAATTCTGGGGTGGGAGTGAGTGGGATGGGACAGGCAGACAGGTAGTGAAGTTAGTGGGCTAGTACAAATTCATTTAGGCAGATTGCACTGGCTGTATTTACACAATATTCTGAACCATAAATTAATCCCAGAGATTGGGTACATATCATGAATTGGTTGAATCATCTATGATATATACCAAGCAAAGCAATCACTTTCTAGCAGTTAATGTCCAGCTGAAGTAGGTTATAGTACTAAATACCTGAGTACTGAAGACAAATGTGTCAATCAATAGGGTAGAACAAACTTTGGAATAAACATGTTTAAAATCATGAGAATTTGGTGTGTTTGCTTAAAACTGAGACTGAGTTTAGTAACCTTTAATTACTGGTAAAAGGAATTAGGATTGAGAGCCAAATATATAAGGATTAAAAAGGCAGGTCCCAAATGCTTTTTGCTAGGATAGAAAACCCCAGAGCACCTCTTCTTGAGGGGAAAATGCAATTCTCATAAATAAAAATAAAGAGTAAGGGGTTTTTTTGCATTGTCATGAAAATCAAAAGCAGGAGCTTGGGGCCTCCTCTTAGCCAAAGAGATGGCTAGCACTTAAAATGAAGGAGATAGAAAAGGGGATCAGTGAGGTCAAGTGGCATGTCTCTGACAGCTCAGGGCAAGTCTAAATGTATACAACAATTTCCTAAACCAGTCCATTGGTTTAGTTTGCGTTAATCCTATGGATTGCACTTCAGGGTGGAGGATCCCAGTTCTATATCATGCAAGAGCAATAACCTTTAAGCTTTAGTAGAGAATTGTCATTTATTCTATTTATTACATTTCTCCATTTGGCCCCCGTGTTTATATTCCCTGAGTGCCACACAGAGATAGCATTTCCTGTATATTCTGAAGTAATGGGCTACTTGAAAAGTTTGTGTCAGAATAAATTTCATTAGTTTTCCATTTAGATTCCAATGAATGAGATTTGTTACATGTTTATTTTCAAACTAAAGAAGGTTTATTTTCCATACCCTTTGGCATTTACAACCCACTAGTGTCAGGACCACTCAGTGTGTAGAAACAGGCAGAAGAGGCATTTCACTTGGACCTCAAAGTATTTTTAAAAAATTAAATATAAACCCTTTTTAAATAAATGCTCCAAGTATTCTCATTCTGGATGTGCCTTATTTTGTTTTAATGAATCTTCCTCTTCCTTTTGATGTTGGTGGTGAAGAACAAAGAGGAGGAGGAGGAGGAGATGGCTAGGGCCTCTTTCGAATACTATAGCAAAGACTGTTTCTTACGATTTTCCCGCCCTGAGCTCTACCTCCGCACAGGGCAAAAGAAGAAAAAAAGCTCCGGGGCATACCCTTCAGAGGGACGAGCTTGAACCTGATCGCCTCGGGTCTCTTCTCGGAAACCCCAGCCTGAAGGGGGGAGTTCCGGGTTTTGGGCTGGAAACGGCCCTGATGAACTGCTTGCCCAAGGAGGAAGCCGGTCTCCATTGTAGAAGGCAGGGGACTAGTCCTCATCAATCACTACCGCCCTTAGCTCTCTTCCCCCCCCCCGCTTTTGAAGTGGGTCGGGCAACGACCCCAAACCTTCAAGACGCCGGTGGGGCGTGTGTCAGGTATGGGCTTCGGCGAAGGAAGGGGGGCGACGGCGGCGAAGCCTTTTCAGAGAGTGACAGCGGCAAGACAAACCCCGGGCCAGGCGGCGGTAGAGACTCAGCCAGGTAAGGAAGAAGCGGACAGGCTAGGCAGAGGCTAGGAAGGAGGAAAAGAAAGGGGCTCTCCCGCCGTCCACCTCCACGTCCGCCTGTCCGTCGCTCTCGTCGTTTTCTGCACGTTTGCTCTCTCCACCTCAGCGCCATCAGCCAACCTTCCGCCCGCCCCCTTTGGCGTTCCTTCTCTATCCGATGCCTCCTGCTCGATCCTTCCTTCCCCATCCATCTCCGGCACCTCCAAACCAGTTCCGCCGGTCCTTCTCCATCAGGGTCTTTCCCATTCCCCCACGCGCAGCAGAGTCGCTTCATTCTCTTCTCTCTCCCGCACTTCCCCACCTCCAACTGGGGAGTGGAGCCTCCGCCGACTCTCGCCTTCCACACCCCCCTGCCTCAAACTCCAGCAGCTTTTAGTGTGCTCGCCTGAACTACAAAGCAGGGAATGGGATCCCGACGGTGCCGAGCTCCTCTTGCTGTTTGGAAGCCCGAAGAAGGCGTCCGGGGCACTTTAAAGGTAGGAGGCGAGTCGCGGCGGAGAGGGACTCTCGAAACCCGTCTCCCTCGACTAGGTGCCTTCCACCTGGGTGGGATTCCTAGTTAGAAAACTAATTGAAAGATGAGGGCAGTTGTCGCCCAATTCCTCCAGAGGGCATCAAGTTGAGGAAGACGGGTGCTCTCCAGCCAAAAGTCCCGTTTTCTATTTAGGGCATCAGGAGGCCTGTACCTCCATCTAGTAGTGACTTCCCTGTAAAGCACACTAATAAGTGATTAAGTGCTACTTTCCTTCTCCCCAATATTCTCTCTTCTGCTGGGAGGCTGCCCTGCCTTCCTCTCTCGGAAAAAATTATCCTAGTCCTTTTACCTCCAGGTAAATGGAGAGGGAAAGGATATAGCCATAATCAATATGCCATCTTACACATTCCCACATTTGTCCATGAGCAGGACTAGATGGAAACCAGCTGGAGAGACAAACAGAAAAGCGGAAATATCCCTGCCTGCTTTGGATTACCTGCTGGTGATGGAAAGCAGGATCTCTGGGTCCCTTGCAATGAGAGCAATTTAATACTTAGAGGAAACAGGGTTGCTTCTCCACTACAAAATATCCTCTCTTTGCTTTGACTCAAGCCACGCTAACAATGCACATGCTTTCCATAATGCTAATGAGAAAGGTGGATGAGAATTTTGACCTCTATAGCATGAGAAACAAAGACAATCTTGTACTTAAATCACTATAATTGCTAGACTGGAAGTGGGGTTAAAAATAGGTTGGATAAGATAGGTTGGAAGCCCATTTTCTTCAGTGTGGAGAAAGAATTTTAATTTTCCAATTCTAATTAAGTAGCAGAACTAATTCCCTTATTATCTGGAAACTTTGGGTATTATATGATGATGCATCTGAAACAAACTCTGAAATTCTTATGAGTTTGATGAAGAGAGATAGGGCCTGAGAGCTCATTCAATCATTCATTTCATTTCTATAGATACCCATCTCAGTCAAGTGACTCTGGGTAGCTTACAATTCTAAAACTATAAAACAAGAAAAAATATCAAAAAAAAATCTCTTTGGGGTGACCTTCTCCCAAATAAGCTTGTTACTTAGGAAGCAAGTATATGGGGGAGATCAATCCACTCACATTCTCTTACTTCCCCATCTTCTAATTTGGGTGGCCAAGAACGTCGTTTCATTGAAACACATTAAGTGAAGGTGAAACAATTTCTTAGTAATACTGGTGGGACATAAGATTTAAGAGTAGTTTATAGTTAAGACACCAGTCAGTAACAGTGAAATACATTTATACTGTAATGAAATATGTTTATATAAATTGTAGATAGCATATTAATTATTAAGTATAGTTGATCAGGTCTGGCACAGATATTACAATATATCTATTACATATTCAATACAAGTCAGCTGGTGACTTTTCCTTTAATGTACATGTACGTTTGTGCTTGTGAGATATGTATTCATCATTGGAATGTATAAATAGTGCTAGAAAGATAGATGGGAATAACTGCGTATGGCTGAAACAAAAATTTAAAGTGTTGATATGGTTCTTTTATGTTCTTTCTAATTTGTGTTCCCAGATTTAGATCATTGCTTAAATGGAATCTTAAAGAAAAAAAAAACTCTTAGATTCCCTACCCCTGCTGGTCTTCTGAATAAGCCCAAATTTTCAAGCTTCACTAATCTTAATTATTCTTAGAAACCCAACTGTGTGACTAAGAATACTTGTTGAATCTAATTAGAATTTCTACTTGTTAGAATCAGAGCTTGTTGCAAACAACATAGAATTCAAGAATAGAGTAACTTTGTGCACATTCAAACTTTATTTTCAATATCAAAATTGAACTGAGGTCACTATCACTTTTACCTAAGGCCCATTATTGGCTACCCATTTGTTTTCTTCATTTCTGCCACTTAATTAAGGTAAAAAAAAATCAGTGTTCTTATCATGAAGCCCTTAGCACCCTAAAAGCACTTTCATGCTGATCTGATTTACCCTGACACCAGATATCCACTACCAGTTACTTGGGGTCAACTTTCAGTGCAGTTCTTGGATCCTGTGTATCCAGATTGCATCTTTGCCCTAATTGGTCAAAAATTTTTGAGTTGTGCAATCCACAGGTTTGGACTCTTTCTTTAAGTGACTCCTTATGTCCCAAAGTCAGCTTCAAAGCAGTCCAAATTCTGACCATGAATTCTCTAGGATTCCCTAGGATCTGCATACAGAACAATTCGACTGGTGTATTTCAAGAGTTACTACAAAGGGGGAAGCCAGAGCATTCCTGTATAGCAGGGGTGTCAAACTCAAGGCCCGCAGGCCAGATCCAGCCTGCAGGGTGCTTAGATCTGGCCTGTCGTGCCTCTGCCAGCCGAGCTCTGTTTTCAGCTGCGACAGCCTCCTGCAACCCTCTGCTAGTGAAAACGAAAATGGGCCAAGCTCCATTTTCACTGACAAAGCATTGGGCCACTATAGGCGCCCCCACACCAGTGATGTCAAGTTGGCCATGCCCACCCTGGCCATGCTCCCATGCCCCCCCAAGGTCAAATCCAACCCTGATGCGGCCTTCAATGAAATTGAGTTTGACACACCTGCTGTACAGAATTAAATGGGAGTGGATATGACCTCATTTTGGTATCTCAGATTTTATGACTCATGCCTGAAAGTCACGTAAGGCTATGTTGGTAAAGGGGAAAAGAGATTTGTAGATAGAACCAGGATGGAGACTTGAAAAGGACTATCAACAGGCTATGGTAAAAAAAATAATAAAAGGGTTGACAACAATGGTGTGATTGTAATTGTTTTTGTGTACATCATAATGCAGGTTAAAAAAAAAAGGTTAGGCTTCGATCCCACTATTATAGCCAATTCTTGACATTTTAAAGCAAATCTTGTGAAGCCCCCATAAGAGATGGCTAAAAATAGGATAGGATAAATAGATCCTATGTAGAGATTACCTGAGTTCTAAGTGAATAGCCAATTTAAGCAAATAATTATTTACATAAATACCCACATGGTCTATGCATCATATGTCCAAATGTCTCAAGTGATTATATCAGGCATAGAATTTAAATGTTTAAAATTTCAACTTCCTTTTAAGCAAAGGTTAGTTTGGTTTACCCACCAAGCCAAGTCAAGACTCAATTGTAATTTAATGAATAAAACATTATTGGCTGGGATGAAAGACTACATTAACTATTAACCATGATTGCAAATCATAATGCAAGACACTAAGCCAAAACAAATCAAACCAAACCATATAGAGACTTAAGCTCAGGATGTGAACTCCACTGATGTTAATGGGTAAATGGGAAGGCCAGTGATGAGTCTCTACTATATTTTGAATGGAGCTGAAAAGCACTGAATTGCTCATCTCATTTACACTGATAGCAGGATCTTGACTGTATTATACAGAGTTCTGTGTTTCCTTCAGGCAGAAACCCATATAGGCTAAAGAGGTGGTGTGCTGAGCAGCAGGTGTTTTTTTTCTCTCCCACAAATGAACAGTTGATTTTGCCGCCAAAGCTGGCTATTGGGCAGCTTTGCTCCTTAAAATTGAATGGGAGTAACTAGGAAGGACAAACCCCTCCCCCCCCAAAAGAAATAAACTCACACATCTAAGATGCAATTATTGCCAAAGTATCTAAAAAGGCCACGATCCCTCCCTGTCATATTACCAGACAGAAAAAAAGAGAAGAGAAAGAATGAACGGAATACCAAAAACTTTCTGTAGAGCTTCAAGCCAGAACTGTGGACATCTTTGACATAGCTAAGGCTCCCTCCTTGTTGAGTGGTATTGCGGCAGAAGAGCACGTTGGAGCCTGCCCAGCACTAAGCTACACATACCTCCTTGAAGCAGGGGCTGGTTCCCCTGCCTTAAGTGCCTGCAGCTTCACATCACAGCCCCCACAGCCCCCTCTTTCCCATGGGAAGGGAGCAAGGTCATGAGCGTTGGGCATTGTGGGAAAAATGCGTATGCAAATAGCCTAAGGGTCAGGCTTAACATTGTTTGCTTAGCCACTAGGCCCACTCCTCTTTCACAAAACCTAAAAGTCCAAGTCTCACTCTTTTGTAAGTCAGAGAACAACATATTCTAGGATCTTTCCCAGACTGTTAATACCAAGGAAAGTAAAAATGGAAATTTTGTCTTTCTCTCTCTCTCTGCCTTACCTATTAGAGGTTTTTTTGCTACTTTTCTACAGTGACCTCCTTTTATTTTTTCTTTATCCTGTCCTTCATTAAGCACAGTAGGAATATGGACTGCTCATTACCAACCTTTTCGTTCACTCTTCTTCCCATTAGCTCGCACTCTTTCTGGGAGACCACATTTAGCAAATTAAGCAGAGAGATAGACATGTACTTGCCTATGTTCTAAGAACAAACTCTTTTTTCTTATACAATATTACATTCTCTTTATTCTGCTCTCCTTTTCTCTCCCTGCCATTCAGATGGAATAAGGGAACTTGTTTCTCTGTACCCACATACTCATTCCCTACCATCCTATTTCTTCCCCCTCCAGCATTAATGATGATGCATATTGCATGGGTTTAGTTTAGCCTAGGCTAGTGGGAGGGGGGGAGAAGAAAGGGAGGGGAGGTAGACCCAGTGTCAGTTTCAAAGGCAGGAGGGATTAGCTACCCTCCAAACCCATCCCCCCCTGTGGTAGTTCTCTCCAGATGTTACTACATCTGGATCCCATTCCTGTGGCTCCCGTCAGCAGCTGTAGAATTTGCAGGCATCACCAGCTGCCCTTGGGATGGGGTAGCAGTGGGTAAAAAAGATGATTTATCAGTCTCCTTTTCCAGTGGCCAAGGGCAGGTGCCGCAGGAGGGGATGCTTTTAGGCAGAGTCTCTACCTTCATGGCTTGTTCAACTTCTTGACTTGTAGAGAATATTCTTAACCTGTGGCACAAGAAAGATTTTTCAAAGAATCTATTCTCTCTGCAGCATCTTTCCTCTCACTAGTGCTCTCCCAGTTTTTGTTCATCTTTAATGTCCTCTTGATTAGGTATATTGAGAGTTAAGTAGTACCAATTGTGGGATTAAAGGTAAATCTCCTGGATGCTTTTTCACACTGGAGAAGGGGGAGAACCTTTTAAAGTTTGAGTGTAACACCCAGCATCCCTGTTAGAATACTGAAAGCCTCTTTTGGCTGGTGGGGGGTGGCGGCACATGACACAGGAATTGTAATCTAACATATTTGGAGGTGGCAGTTTAGTGAGATTGTTATAAAAAATAATTGGGTAGTGCAAGGGAATCTCTGAGAGCCAGTTTGATGTAATGGTTAAAGCATCAGATTAGAAACTGGGAGAGATTGAGTTCTAGTTCTGTTTTAGGCACAAAAGCAGCTGGGTGTCTTTCGACTAGTCACTTTCTCTTATTCCTAAGAAGGAAGCAATGGTAAACTACTTCCAAAAAAACTTAACAAGAAAACTTCAGGAACTTGTCCAGGCAGTTAGCAGGAGTCAACACTTATTCAAAAGCACATACACACAAAAGACTCAGTGGGGAATATTTTTATAGCAATTGTACGAATGTCCAGTCAGTGCCAGGAATCCAACTTGTAAAAGGCAGTTTCTTTAAATATTTGCAGGATATTTCTCAGCACCTTTTGAGCATTTCCATTTGTCTTGGCCCATTGTCTCAGATGTGATTGTGGAATGTATTCTTTCTGAAAAACTTATATTTCTGTCCCCTTTGGCTTTTCCAGATGCAGCAATTGCAACTTTCATGCTTTGGGCTGGAAGACAGTGGTTTTATAAAAGATGATAATTGGAAAAGATAACATTAATTCATGGTTTCAATGGGAACAAATATAGCCAGGTTTAACCTGGATCTAAATTGTGGTCATTTAAGTCTGGGACATGGTTTTGGATGAGCAATTTTAAAATAGCATGTTCCAGTTAGGATCTCGCATACCAGTAGAATTCAATGTAAAAGAATGTAATTTACATTAATTTTCATATGTATTCAAGCTATAGGACCAACCTCTATCTGACCAATCTATATATGTCAGCCAGATTTTATAAGTATATAGATTTTCTAGCCTGCTACATTTTGTAGAATATTAGAAAACTTTAGGATTTTTGCAGTCTTAGCAACTTTTACAAGTTGATGTACTCTAGATGTTGGCAGGGCCGGATTTAGATGAAAAGAGGCCCTAGGCTATTCCACTTATGAGGCCCTTTCACCTATAGTGAAAGTGTAATTTTAATTTTGCTAACAATTTGAATGTAGGCCCCTCTTGATCTTGAGGCCCTAGGCTGAAGCCTAGTTAGCCTATAGGAAAATCCGGCCCTGGATGTTGGTGTATATCTCTCTCCTCTACAACCCCCCCCCCCATCCATTTGGGAAATAGCAATTATAATCCAACATATCTAGATGGCAGATGATTACAGGAGACTTTGCTGGAACACTAGAACAGGCAGAATGGTAGTTTAATGTTCTCTTCATTAAGAGGGTGTTGTTTCCCTCTTTTGCCAGATCCTATGAGTGACATCAAATTCTCAGCCAAATCCATATTCTTCCACATCTTCCTATTGTCATCCCTTATCAACAGTGAGGCAATTTTTTTACCTCTGGGTGAGGGAACATTCTCTTTGCTATCTCAGCAGAAGCAAGGATGCAGCATGAGATTTGATGGGACCTGAGAAGTCCCATCTTTCAGACACATGAACAGCAAGGAATCACAAGTGCCTGTGAGAGACACGACAACAAAAAGACTGCCTTTGCAACACAGGCTGGCTTGCATCATCAAATATCCAAGCAAGACCCCACTCTGGGGGGTCATGAATAAAGCCCAGGATCTGCTTGACTGTGGCCGAAGGAAGGCTTGAACCACAGGTAATCCTCCCACCCACTTTTGTCTATGTGCTTTTATTGCAGCTTTCCTAAACCAAGCTGGATTCCTTTCCTTTTGGAGGGAAGCATATATAATATTTATTAGAATTGCACACACATTGAAAATGATGTACATTTTCATCATGCAGAATGGCTTCAGATCCCACATGAGCACAGTGCCTCTCATGAAAGCATGCATGAGTTTTTTTTAAACCTTCTGAACTTAAAAAGTTTAATGAACCAAATTGTTCAAGGGTGCATCCTTAACTCTTAAAGCTTCTTTAATAAATACCAAAGAGATGTACTTATATGAGGTCTGAAGATTTCTGAATTATTTCTGAAGTATACAGTGCCTTAGTATTTATTATAATTATACTAATGAAAAAAGAATTTGTGAGGGATGAAAAACTACTGATGGGCTTTTTTATGGAAATGGTAAGAAACATCGTTTACTGGTATCTGGCATAGACTGAGATTTATATAAGTAAGACTGGCTTTAATCTGTTTTATCTCAGCATTTAATACTTCTAGAACTTCGTACCTGATTACTGACAACTATGAACAGGAAATACTGACCTTATTTAGCTCAATATTAGCTAACTGTCTGCTAATCTCATGATTCCTTTGCTAATAATATCAGATTCTTTTATAAACTGAGTCCAGTCTGGACATCCTTGCTGTGAGTCTCCGGTCTGAACACCAAGGGGCACTTGCGGGAAAACATGACACACTGAAAGTTCTATTGTTCTCAGGGATTTTACATAACAAGAAAAGCAAATATGTCACTGGTATGCCTCTGAATGAACTACCCATGCTTATTTTTGCCTGCAGTGAGATGCTTTGATGGAATATCTGAGACAGTGCATTCTGGGAAGAATTAAGATGACTGCTACCATCTTAAGCCAAACATGAGATCCTTTTAGATAAGGGTTTTCTCAATCTTGAGATGGAATGGAATTGGCCTAGCTAGAAAAGTGGAGGATAGTGGAAAAGGAGAAGAAAGGAGCTGAGAGCTGATGATCAATATCAATTTATTGTTGCTTTCTTTTTTCTGCATAGGTCCCCGCTGTGCAGAGTGATGCTTATTCTGTTCCATGCCATGGTCACCCCATTGCTCTGTGTCATCCAGGCTGCCCCCCTTCCCAACACCTATATCCTCCTTAACACCACTGATACTCTCTGGGCTGAGACTCCCCTGAGGGATTGGGACCTCTTCTCTCCACGTGTCACTCTGTCTAACCAAGCTCCTGAAGAGCCCCCCATGCTTTTCCTCATGGAGGACTCCAATACCCAACCTGGACAAGCTGCTAATAGAACATTCAAGTCCAAACGGTCATTGGAAGGGTCCCTCCGCCGGGGAGAAATGTCTGTATGTGACAGTGTTAATGTGTGGGTGACAGACAAACGGACAGCTGTGGACATCCGTGGCAAAACGGTGACAGTGCTGTCTGAGGTCCAGACGCTTACAGGCCCCCTCAGGCAGTATTTCTTTGAAACCAAGTGTAATCCAGCTGGTGGAACTGTGGGTGGCTGCCGGGGTGTGGATCGACGCCATTGGATCTCTGAGTGCAAGGCTAAACAATCTTACGTGAGGGCTTTGACTATGGATTCTGACAAGATTGTTGGTTGGCGCTGGATCCGGATTGACACTTCCTGTGTCTGCACCCTACTCACACGCACTGGTCGGACGTAGGAAAGAAAAGGGCATAGATCATGAACTCACTTTGGCCAATCAAAGCATGCCCAGCTCTCTAATATGTTCAATCATGGATTGGAATAATTCCTAAATTTAACTCATCTTTCATTGGCCAAAGCATGTGTGTGTGTGTTGTGTGTGTGTGTGTGTGTGTGTTTGCACATACATGTGCCTGTGTTGAAAAAAGAAGAGGGTGGTCTCTAGTGATTAACAGCTTCTGGGCTACAGTGCTGATTCCATTTGTCCTGCAGCAAAACCGGGGTGGGGGTGGGGAAGTATGCCATTATGGCCATAAATTCTGGGCATTTGCTGCCTAAGTGGAAGCATGGTTTCTCTTGTTCAAAGGGCCAGAAGAGGAACTTTAAAGTCCTACTTGTGGAAAGTTAGGTATTGTTATGGCTGGAGGACTGCAATATTCATGCAAATTGTTGGTAGTTCAAAAAAGATTAGTGGGTCTTTTGCAATCAAGAGGATCTCAGTGATTACTACTTGTGATCCAGGCATGAATATCAAGGTCCTTCTTTTCTACAATCCTCAGGAACCTTGCAAACCACAAGGGCCTCCCCTCCCCCCATGCTTTTCCTTCTGTGCACTCTCAGGGTTTTTCAAAATGTCTACCCTCAGGGAACATTTCCCATTTCCACACATCTGCCAAGGATTCCCTGCACATGATTAAAAAGTTTTTTTAGGGCATGTTTGAAAGTGCATTGTCTGTACATGTGTGGCCAGCAGCCACACCTGCTGAGCCTCACCTCCATTCTGTGCACACAGCTTAGAACTTTAGAGAATGCATTGGAAGGGAAATTAAGACGTTGTGGGAGGTTCGTCCACCTTTACCAAGCTATGTCTTGAAAAAACATCTGATTCATCACTGAAGGCCTTTGGAAAACTTTTGAAAAGCAGTCTCTTAGGCAGAAAATGTTTACTTCTGGAATTCCTTTCCCCCCCCAGTTTATCCCTCTTTTCCTATTTATTGCCGCATCTCCAGTTAAGAGTTTGTCTGTGACACAATCCTGTCATATTATTAACTTATTTGTGTGCATTTATTCTGTGGGAAAATCATTTCTAGGAGTGTGCGTGAGTGTGTTTGTGCGTATGTGTGTGAGTGTGTGTGTGTGTGTGTGTGTTGGCTGGAGGGATTAAAAACAAGTTCTCAACTTCCTTTCCATTGTCATGAATATTTACTTTTGGGAGCTGGGGGGGGAGCAGAGGGAGCCAATAGTCAAGAAAGCAAAACTTGGTTATTAATACGTTTGAAGAGTCCAGTGTCCTGAGTCACTTTTTGGATTGCTCTGTGACCTTCAATGCCACCTGGAGGCTGAAAATAACATTGCAGAGTCCTAATCAGAGTCAAGTCTTCTTAATGAACACATTCAAAGAATTTTCTTAGAAACAGTACACAAGCAATTTGCCATTGCCACTTTCTGAAATAGATTTCAACTTTTAAATCTAACCCATGTTTCTCAACTTCAGTGACTTTCAGATATATGGACCAACTCCTAGATTGGGGAATTCTGGGAACTGAAGTCCACACATCTGAAAGTAACCGAGATTGAGAAACACTGGTATAGACACTACCCTTGGATTTCTTGAAGTTTCCCATCAAAGTACTAGCCAAACTCAACCCTACTTAGCTTCTGAAACTAGAGATCAACCAGATGCTTCCCTCAAAGGTAAACAACCTTCCTCTCTACAGGTGCTATATTTAACATTCTGGGAGTGAGGGAGACTGAGCGCTGCACAAATTCTGTCAGAACTATCAATTTTCAGTAATCATTGTCAGATGAAGTACAAAAAACATATAATTTAGATGTTGCTGCCCACTCTGGTTTAGGTATGGATATTTTTAGTATTACGTGCATGCTGTGGGCTAAAACCAACATTACCAAACCTAGGAGAAATCATATATGAATTTATGTCCAGTATTAATCTGACTAGATTCTACAGCAACAGATTATTTTTAATCTTGCCAAATTATTATAGGATCCTACTCTGAAGAATTGTTGAAGCTATCAAAGGAAAACACTTCAATGAATAGAACATCATAGCTAAACATCATAGTACCCTACAGAGACACTGGAGATTTTGACCTTTTGTTTGTATCGAATAGTTGTGAACAGCAAAACTTAATGCAAGTATCAACTGTGACCCTTTCAATGTCATTTGGGTTTAAAAGGAATAAGTTGATAGAATAGGAAAGAACAGTGAGAAGAAGAGGATACAGTTAATGGACAAAACTGGAGGAAAGTATAGCCTAATGACAAAGTAAACATGTATATTAATGTTAAAAAGGATCTCAGGATACAAGATTGGCGGTACTGTAGACATTTGATTTAGAAAGGCTTAATAAAAATTCCTTTCTTAATACTACTGAGGATAAGTGTGGATCATTATGTTATATAGTCAGAATAGCATCTCCCATGAAGAAGCAGCAACTCAGCTTTGACAAGCTCAGAAAATACCCCAAATTTTGCAAATACTCTTGAGGAAAAGAAATTTTAAAAGGGAAAGAAACACATCCAGTAAAATGGAGGCATCTGTGGAAAAAAATGAAATGAACTCATTTAAGGACAAGTCTAGTTCTAACAGGATAGATGTATGTTCCACATCTTTGTAATGCAGTTTCCCTTTATTATAAATTTGAAGATTACTCCAAAATCGAGCACTTGGCACTCACTTTGGAATTATAAGAATGATTGCTTACATGGTAATAAACTTGATATAGATAGTCGCTGATCATAATGCAACTTTCTCATTACAATTGTAAGTCATGATGGTCGTAAAGTGGATCACCATTTGACTGGACTCATTTTTATGAAAAAGCATTAAGTGACTCCATTATTTGCTATGATCTGTTTTTGCTGAAAAGTGGAAGTAATTTACAGTTTTTAGTCTTAATTTGTGATCATATGACTGCAGGATGCTGCAAACAGCCATAAATGTGGGTCAGTCCCTAACACTTGAAATGCAGCCACATGACCATGTGGAGGGGACTTTGGAACTTGGAACTCAGAACTTTGGAACTAAGTTATTAGTATTGTTTGGGTGGTCCCTTGTAACTTTGAATGGCTACCAAGTGACTGGATGTAAGTTGTGGACTACCGTACTCTGCAAAATAACTACAAAAGCACCATTCTTTGACTCAAAATCTTTTCGGGTATGGCCAGTTACATATATTTGCTCCTTAAATAACATTTCTATATAGAAAGGTGAATAATTGGATTTTTAGTTGGCTTTTTTTTTTCCAATACTATACAGGCTACAATAGAAAATTTAATTTTTGGAAAATCTGGGCAGTCAAAATTGTTTTATGCTGAATTAGACTAAAAAAGTTTCATTTGATGCAACTATCTAACTCCATATTTGCCTACTTAGCTCCCCAACTTTGTTCAAGGTATTTACCAGCTTGACCATGCCAATTCTGTGCTTATAGGTTCCTAAACAGAGTTGCTGCTGTCAATATGCACAACCTCCCCACTTTTCAGTATTCCTGGATATCACTAAGTGATTTCTTGATTTCTCATTTGAGTCAGACATTATTTGCCCCATTATTTGGTGCTTTAAGCACCTCAAGGTTGCTGCTGCTGTCTTCGCTCTCCTTGACCAGGCTGCTCGTGATGTGTGTGGGAGAGCAAAGTGTGGGTCAGAGGAAGGCCCACTCCTCTCCTTGTGAGGAGACCCAGCTTTGTAAACAAAGCATCCTCAGCTATAGGATGGGAGACCACCAGGAGAGGAGGTGGCATGGGGACAGCAAAAGAACAGCAAGGCTGCTGGTGGCCAAGTGCTAAGGCAGGACTTCTCTCAGACCCTCAATCCCTCTCATAATCTTCCTTCCTTTCTTCCTTCTCATTCCCATCTTCCTTCTCTCCTTCTCATTCCCTCCCTCCTTCCTTACCTTCTTCTCAGTCCTATTTTCCTTCCTTCCTTTTCTCCTTCCTTCCTTCCTTCCCATTCTCATCTTCCTTCCTTCCCCCTCCTTTCTTTTTCCTCTTTCCCCCCACCCTTATTCCTCCTATCCCTACCCTTTTCCCTTCTTCCTCCCTTCCATCTATCCCCCCTCCCTGCCTCCTTCCTTCTCATTTCCATCTCCTTCTTCCTCCACACTCAGGAAGCAACAAGGAGAGAGATTGGCAGCGCTGCAGGTGGCCATGCCACCAGTGGCTGTGGCTTTACCACGTGTGGGCGGGAGCAGTGCCTGTGAAAGGGAAGCCTTGCATGCTGCGAGGCCAGGCCAGCGAGTGGGCCATGGAGGTTTGTGGTAGCCATCCAGGCTGGAACACAGTCAGTCTTAGAACTGACCCACAGGACCATCTTGGAGTCATTGATGGGCCGCCCTGGTGCCTTGGTGAAAGGAAGCCTCGCGGGCTGCAAGGCCTGGCCAGTGAGCAGGGCATGGAGGCGCTGGTGGTGGGAGCAGTGCTGATCTACAATTTGTGGTGCCATCTGGACCAGAATCCAGTCAGCCTTAGATCTAACCCGCCCCGGAGCTAGTGCAGGGCCACCCTGCTGTCTCGGCCCTGCCCCCTGGGCATGTGCTCAGAAGGCAGTGTGAGCGCTGGCGCCCTGGATGAAAAGGAAAGCACTCAGAATGCAATCAGCTAGGAGAATCCGGAAGCGGCGCGGCGTTACTGACTGGGAAAATGCCAGGCTCCGACGAGCTTGGCAAAATCCACCAGACGAACTGTCACCAGGGGGGGGGGTCTTCGGACCAAAGCTGTCCTGTAGGGACAGTGAAGAAAGAGAGGCAGCTTGGTGTCTAAAGAGGAACAGGCAAGTCCCTTGGATAGCCTGAGAAATTCTCTCTGAGCCAGTGACGGGGGATGGCGATCAGAGTGAATCACCATGAAGTTTGAGCTTCTGGAGCAAGCGATGTGCAGGAGGGAAGATTTGGACAGAGTGTTGGTATTGGGTGAGTGATTGACTAACCCACAGACAATAAAAAGAAAATTCTAAATATTTTTAACTACTAAACTATTACTAAAATTACCCTGGTGTGGAAATTGTGGCTAAATAGTGGCAGTGGGAGATGGTGGATGGAAAGAGAAAGTGAGAATGACAAGCCCGCCATAGAAGAACCCGAATAAAGAATTAAAAGTGATTGACAAACGGAAATGTAAATCTGGAACTTGGATTCAATTTGGATTGGATTATAAACTGATTGGTGGTATATAAAGGTGAAAGAAGATGTGAAAACTGGCTTTTTTCTCTTTTATGACTCGGTAAACACGGATGTGGATTACAAATAAAATGGCGATTTGTGAATTAGTCGAGTGAAACTGTGGATTATAGAGAGACATCTGCAGGAGAAGGAAGAGCATGACATGGAATTGTTTATTTGAGAAAACTTTTGAAGAAACTTTGAACTTTTAAAAAGATAACTGGCGAGAATTAAGGAAGATACGTTTTGTCTACAAGAGGATAGACTTTGAGATTATAAAAGAGGGACCTTAATGAGACTTAAAACTGGAATAATTCAACCCGGAAAGAATAAAATGGAACAGGAACTTAATGAACTGATAAAGACAATGTGTTTGGAAATAAAAGAAATGATTATAAATTTGCATGGAAAATCAAAATCTGAGGAGGCAAAGACAGAGCTAGAATGCACTGTAGATGAAAAGGAAATGACTAATGAGAAACAAGAAAAAGAGATGAATAATGAAGAAGACAAAGAGACTGACTATGGAAAATTAAACAATTGTAATATTAAGTATGGACAAAAAGAAAAGAAACAAAGAAGGAAAAGAGGGTGGAACAGGAAAAATATAAAAAACTTAAATGATTACACAGATTTACAGTGGAAAGATAAAAAAGAGGGGAAAGAGATGGAAAATAATAAGAAACAAAATAAAAGATTTTATGATTTTAAAATACAAAATAAGCATACTAGGATTAACAATGAACAGACACAAAAAAGGAAAGAGAAAGGAGAAACAATGGGAAATATAGGGCAGGGGGATTATGGGAGCGAGGGGGTGCTCCCATGTGACACCTCTCCTGCGTGAGCTGCATTGGCTTCCAGTGGTCTTCTGGGTGCGCTTCCGGGTGCGCTTCAACCTTTAAAGCGCTCCATGGCATAGGACCTGGGTACTTGCGGGACCGCCTTCTGCTGCCAATAGCCTCCCACCGATCAGTATGCTCCCACAGAGAGGGACTCCTCAGGGTGCCGTCAGCCAGGCAATGTCGACCCCCAGGGGGAGGGCCTTCTCTGTGGCAGCTCCTGCCCTCTGGAACGATTTGCCCCCGGAGATACGAAGGATATCGGATCTCCGGGTCTTTCGCCGTGCCCTGAAAAATTTTCCATCAAGCAGGGCTGGCGTGAACCCCCCCCTTCTTTAGTCTTTTTTAGTTTTTTAGCTTTTAAATTGTCCATGGGTTTTAATTTGAATTGTTTTAAATTTGGGCCAAAGTTATGTAATTCTTTTAATAATTTTAAATTTTGTATTGGTATGTGTTTTAGTTCTGGCTGTGCACCGCCCTGAGTCCACTAGGAGAAGGGCGGTATACAAATTGAATTAAATAAATAAATAAATAAATAAATAAATAAATAAATAAATAAATAAATAAATAAATAAATAAGAAAGGAAAAAGGGAAAACAAAAGGCAAAGAAGGAAAAGAGGGTGGAGGAGAAAAAATATTAAAAACATAAATGGTTACACTGGGATTTACAGTGGAAATATAAGAAGGAAAAGGGATGGAAAATAATGGGAAATAAAGGGCAAAGATTTCATGTTTTTAAGATACAAAATATTAATAATGAAAAGATACAAAAAAGGAAAAGAAAAGTATAAACAAAGGGAACACTGTAATAAATGTCACATGCTCAATAATATTGGAGGTTTATAGAATGATAAATTTTAACAAATTGAATAAGCCAGTTGGGGGAAATGTAATATTTGGAATATCTCAAACATATATTTGAAACATAATTAAATAGAGAAAAGGAGACAATTTAAGAATATTTTAAGAACTAATTGGATTGGGTAAAATGAGAAAGGATTAAGATGCGCTTTATAAATATATATTTGAATAAGTGGAAATATATCGTTAAGATATTTTGAGAAATAATATTTAATGATTGAAATTGAATGTAAAACTGAATGAAATTGAAATGATAAAAATGATTTAAATGTTATATTTGCAAGAAGTAAAGCAGAAAAAAATATATTGGTAAAAGTAAAAAAAGATAAGAGATTAGAAAAGTGTTTGAGTAAAGATTTGAAGGAAAAAAGAGAACAAGATGAAATATATTGTTAATAATTAAAAAGATAAGGGATCAGGGCTGCCTGAATTCCACAATGAAAAACATTAAAATGAATACAGCAATAGAAAGATGAAGGAATTGGAAGGGAGGAGGAAGGAGAGAGAG